ATCGCTTATCGCTGCAGCAATCGCCAATCGCTGCGACCTTAAACGATGCCGCTTCCTCCTCCGAAAAACTCATTAGAGGAGAGAAACGGTCAAGCTCAAACCGTGTTTAAAATGTGTCGAGGTCATAGATATCATGAGAAATAACAATAGAAGCTGTTTTCTCTTTTTCCATTTTACCTTTAGGGGTCGTACGAGAATCGCTAGCGAATCAATTACTGTCTCGTTACACGTCAGAGAAGTCAGAATGGCCACCTTTCGGGTGTGAGTCACGTCAAGCGGTGGAATTCGGAAAACACGCAAGAATAAACAAACTTAACTCGGACAATAAACATAATTTACGACTGGAAACATAAGCAAAAAGCTCGGCAAATATTTATTCTTCAGCACCTGTTCCCCTATGAGGAACATAGTTATAAAAATTGGAGGAAAGCGTGCTACTTGCTCTAGGCCATACGAATGCAGTGAGTAGAAAACGTATGCTTTCGGCTTGTTTGTTGATACACATCCCTCGGGCCCTCCCGTGGAGCTCGAGAGTCCAACAATTTGACACCTGCAGTCGTGGAAGTGGGGTCGTGACCCGCGGTTAAAAGGAAACTGGCGATTAAAAAGGGAAGATCAACTCCGTTAGTCGCTGTTTTCTAAACAGGATACACAATATCGTGATATCTGGAGAAACAAGGTGCGAGACTATTTTTAAATCCGACAGACTGGTACCAGAAACTTTTGACGTCATTTCTAAATCCGGGATGTCTGAATGTTTAACCAACTTTGCAAATTTGGATTAACGAATGAGCCATCGTCCCCGATGCAAATTATATAAACCATGTGAGCTGTGGAATTTTATCGCCGAGATAAAAGGAGAGAGAGGCGACACCGATGAAGCGACGAGATTGAGCATTTTAATATATAATTTTACGACTTAAAACGGCAACGAATTTCAATTTGAATTATTAATTTTCCAACTAAACCAATTCATTCACCTCTACAGCTTACACATTCCCACTTTTTAGATGTAATTTACGAGCGATGAAACCATTTTACAGCTACCAGTATCGCCTCGTTTATGGCTTAAACTTGATACTCCTCGTGGAAGAATTGCTTATTAGCGATAATCATCTAATCTGTACTTTCTGGGATATCAGTTGCAAACTATTACTAGAACACTTTTTTTTTCTTTCCTACATTTGACCACAGATGTTCAACAAGGTCAGTGAATCATAATGTAACGGATTAGGTAACAAACCACAGATGTGTGGCGATATTAAGAACAATATTGGGGCATGCCACATTCTGTTGTGTAACTTCAGAAGAACAACCTGCTGCCAGATTTTCCCCCCTACCTTTTTTTTTGTCTCAATTTGTTGTCAATTTAGTTTAGTGAGAACATTATCACGACCTAGTTTCTTCCCGTACTCTAATTAACCAGAGTTGGACGAAGATCCACCTGATGAAAGCGAGTGGCACCATTTCATTACTTGTATCTATGTCAGCGGTCATAATCTGTTTATGATCCTCGTAAAATTGCATTTAAAATATTAAATAATTTTTTTTTTCTTCGTCTTACTTAAGCGGGGTGTATTAAAAAGTTTCATTTCTGAGTTTTGNATTTCGATGCAGGTTAACGACATTAATATAAGAGACTAATATATAGGAAATTTGATAGTTTGTTAGAGGAGTATTTATGTATTTTGTTTTGCATTTTAAAAATGTACAAGTGGAGGACATGCTCGAAACTCTTCGATAGCGATTTATATTTTTTATAACTTTTTTTTCCTCCTCTAAATCGAATCGAATCGAATCGAAATTAAACCCCCTTTTCTAAGTTTTGTATCGGATGGTAACTTGATGAATGATGTAAAAAGTACTAAATTAAAGTTGTTAATTAGGTATTAAGTATTGTTTTCAACAGAAAACAGTACTAATTCTGAATTAAATAACTAATAAGTACTATTTTCTTTCGGAAAAACCACTTACACGCCATTAAAAATAAAACTATGTTTGTAGAACACTAGGATCTATTAGTGAATTTTAGTATTATCTTCACTATTTTCGAGTAAAAACAGTATTAATTCAGCTATTTTAAGAGATTTTTTAATGCATAATTTAACCCGATTTAGTGTTTATTTAAGTATAAATTCAAGATTTATTATCATTTATCTCATATATTCACTCGAACTTAATAGGAGTTCCATAACTTCAAATATCGGTTTCATTTCAACAAAGGAGCCATTTTAGAATTCTAAAACGACTCGTTCAATCTAAGTAATGGTAAAGTAGCCTTTACGACTCGCCTACTTTTATCAAAAGCGGTATTTGTATAGAATACTAAAGTCGAGTTGTGAATTTTATTGATGTAACTACGACCTTACTTATATATATATTGTGTTTGTGTAACTTTATTGTCTTAATTTTGGCTTGAGTTACGTTAATTTTTGTTTACATGGTTACCTTAAAAAGAAAGTTTTCTGCCCACATCTTTCAGAAAAACAGCAAAGTAAGCATTATTTTATTTTTTCTCCACCTCTCAGCTTAACGAAATAATAATTATAACTTGTATAATATATATATATATATATTATATTTTTTAAATCGATCTTCAAGGTTTGCAGAACCAGAAAACAAAGAATAACGTGTGCCAGAGCTGTAAGTTATCAAGGAAAATTGAGTTGCACACCCACTTGACTGCATTTCCGTCATCGTTACGGTCAAGCTTCTATCAACAGAAAATCACATAGCATCGTTAATGCTGAAAGAATCGAAGATAATCTGAACATAAAATAATTTTTAATTATTTTTTAAAAATATGGCGCCAGTTTCAATTTCCTTTTTATCAATTTCCGACTTCAGCATTAAGTNGACGAAGATCCACCTGATGAAAGCGAGTGGCACCATTTCATTACTTGTATCTATGTCAGCGGTCATAATCTGTTTATGATCCTCGTAAAATTGCATTTAAAATATTAAATAATTTTTTTTTTCTTCGTCTTACTTAAGCGGGGTGTATTAAAAAGTTTCATTTCTGAGTTTTGAAACGGTCGAAAAATCCAATTACCCGTCTCGTTACAGAATAAATTGTCTATTTATTTAAAAATTCATCGATTCATCTTCATTAATTTTTGTTTAGGGACCTTGAGTAGTTCATAATGAAAGCTGCAGGAAGCTGCAATGTAGAGAAGTTCGTGGTAATGAAGCGTATGAATCATTTATACGATGCGCGATAGAGAAGGAAGACTCCGAAGGGGGGTAGACGAGCCAGGAAAGGGGGAGAAGGAGCATCTGCGGGAAATCACAACACGAAAACTCCATAAATGGACGCAGTCAGGTGTTGATAAAACAAACCACAGTAGAGGCAATTCCCGAGCACATAAAAATGTCATCGGACGTTGTCCAGACCGAAAAAATAAGATCAAAGGTTGAGGAGGAACCAGTCAAGAGTAGGCTCGTGTGTGTGAAAGTTTACAAAGTAAAAGAGTATCCTTAATAGCGGGAGGGTGTCCTTGAGTAGTCTAATAAATCGCATTTATAATAAATCTTAAATTATCCCACTAGAGAACGTGTAGTCGTGTGAAGAATGTCTTCTTTTGATAGGAATGCGGAAGACGGACTCGATCAGGTAAGTGAACTTTAAAAAAAAAAAATGTTTTAATGTTAATCCCGAAAGGATTTTTAATAGAAGTGCTAAATAGGATAATTTTTATATTAATGTGCCACTTTTTTCTCTACATCATTGTAGTGTTCCCTAGTCAGAGGTGAAAATGGGGTTCCACCTTAATGCTTACGAAACCGCTGAAGACAGACAGCGTCTAGTCGAACAGCGGTCATTGACTTGAAGGTGGCAACGGCAGACGTCGAAAGGGGGGTTGGAAAATCGGCAATTAAGCCTCTGTTCTGTATAAACGCGTAAAGCAACTGAACAAATTCGTGCCTGGTATCACCTCAGTTTTCACAAACATCTCTTTGATCTCAGCCATTTTTTAAAAAAAGAGTTACACGCGAAAATTGATTAAAAACCGAAAATCAAAGACGTCAAAAGAAGCGGCCCATTCTGCGTTACAGCTGTTAACTTCTGTTTTTGTTCTGATACTGTAGAAGTTAGTTTTTGTGGAGTCTTTTTTTCCTTCCTAGTTTAGTCGTCTCGAACAGATTCGTCCCTGAACTACCACCATAGCGTCATTTATCAGCAGCCACCTCCACACAACCCACTGTGTAACAAGAATCCAGGAGAGAGAGAGAACTTCGACTCTCCCCAGATGCCAATTTCGCGTGTAAAATCGGAGAAAAATCGAGTACTAAATGTTAAAATTCGGATTTATTTATTCGTGGATTTGTTTGTTTATAAAAATCGCCGCGCGAATTCTTAGAAGCCTTACAGGATTTGATCGAGTAAACAAACACCCAACCGTTGACAAAACTAAACGCTATATAGTTCATGGTCGGTTGTCTGCTCTCAAAATAACGACTAAATCCGTGAACCTAAATATTAACTGGGCTTATTACGAAAGTAAATGAGAGTTTCTGCATTCATTTTACACGCAAAAAAAAAAGAAAGAAAATCGAGTTACAAGATCTCATTCCTATCTGTAATCGTTTTCATTATGGGCGGGTTGCTCTAGTCTCCAGCGCAATTTCTTTATAACTAAACTGTTTAAAATTAACCTAATATGTTCAGCTGCACGTCAGCAATGGAAAGACATTTTAAGTGGGTTTATTACGAAATTAATGAGTTTCTGTATTTAATGTTTAAGTAAGAAGTTTCGGAGTTTTGTATTTTGATCACGTTTGATTCGGGTATTCAAACGGGGGATTTCTACACATGGAAATTGCTTAAAATTGGCCTAATTCGCCTTCTCCAATAAGTACAAGTGCCCATAAAAATGTTCGCGTTAAAGACTACAGTTAGGGATTTTATCTATTCAATAACATAAATATAAAAAACCTCCATAAATATCTCCCGAACAATTTTAGCTTATCACTAAACTGTACAGGAAGCATGTACTTACCATCCTCGTCACAACTCCGAGTGGATTTTCTTAAATCTCTTCCTACGTTGGTGATTAGATGAGGCCGTTTCGACGATGATGGATCGATGGGTTCGATGACATAATCGCCATGTGAAGCGTGCAGGAAGCCTAACTGTAAAAATATATATTAAAAAAACGAGACTGTAATGTCGACTTTCCAGTAATACACCAGTGATTAACGCCGCTGCCCTACTCAATGCAACAATACATTTAAACTCGAAGCTTGTTTTCGAGCCGCCACCGTATTGCACTCATCTGTCACCCCACTCTTATCGGCAACATCGGGGTCTCCACTAGAAAAGTGCAGCCTCGAGGGACAAGGAGATTAGGTGAGGTCCCCGGGCGGTCAATTGAACTAGTCCTAACTTAGTACGGACTGACAAGTACAGGCCATAAAATACAACTGTATCAACAGCACTTGTAACGTGTGCCCCGCATTGTTATTATTTATTATCGAGTTTTGTACGCGAGTCCCGATCGACGTTAACGTAAACGACAAATACAACGAATGATGGCCCTATTGAGAAACGTATTTCATTCGTGAGACAAGGAGGATAATAGTTTTGGACCACACAAGATGAGGGAGTGGGTACCTATGGCAGGTATCGACGACATGTTGGACTATGCAACACCAGTTTAGAGTTTTGTAAGAAATTATCGAGAAGGAAGATCGGTCACAGAACTGTATTATCAAAATAATAATAAAGTTTCCCTTTTTTTGAGTGGAAATCCATAAAATCGCCCATGCGAAAAACTTTTTATGTCTTTTAATCTGTGATACGAACTCGAAGATCGTTACGCCACTACAACAACAATTGCAAGGATGCTGAAGTTTATAGCTACTCTCGAAAGATAGATAAGCTACTAAAACTATACTATCGTTGCAATAATGGCTTCTTTCTGGATGAAAAATCTATTGTTTAGGAAAGTAAAGGACCGAGGAACTCGGAGTGCGTCATGTTACTATAATAACAAATCACAGAGACGTGGATTATGTATCGCAAACATGACTTTTAAAGACATTTATCGAGGGAAAAGATCACTATAAAACTACATGGCTCCTTTTCTTGGAGATAAACCTATTATATACAGGTAAAGTCAAGAACTTTCTAATGTGTTTGACCCGAGTAGGGCGTCACTCTACTATAACAACAATATTTTACTTTCAAACATGTGATTCTTTATCTGGTCTATATTGGAAAACGAATGAGCCATATACATGTCAGGGAGCTCTTCAAATAGTAACACAAAACACGATATAGCCCTATCTTACTTTTGTATTGGGTGGGTCAATTCCCTTCCGGAGCAAGAGTCATCGTGCCTCTCGGTAATTTTATACTGCACAGAGCATTCGGTGCGTTATGACCTCCAACCTACACAATTCGGTGACCTTCGACAGTAATAAAATTCTCTCGAGTCAACAAACATTATATTAAAGAGTTTCATAATTTTTTTTTTTTTAATTCTTTTCCTTCTACCGAGGAGCCAAAAAAAGAAAATGGCGTCGGAAGAAATTGGAAACTGAATAGTTTTCGTTTGCTGTGAACCGTACGAAAAACAAATATTTACGAGATAAGTAAGATTTTATGGGGATTTGCACATTAATAAGTTGAATTCGGCTCCCTTTCGAGATAGGTGAACACGTGTAAACACACCCAAAGCGTTATATTTGCTGTGGAAAGATGGCAAAAAGCCAAAAATTATAATTCTGATCCTGTAAAACACGTTTCTGGGAAAGTGTTTATTAAAACTTAGCTTCTTACGTAATTCCTGAATTCCCTGCTCATAACTGAAAGTGATAAGGAGTTGTCCTCCTTTTTAGCGAGTTTAAGTGTCGTTCTCGAAGTAAAAGGGTTAGCGAACGTTACGTCCCAACAGGAAAAAAAAAAAAATACATTTCATATATAAACAAACATTTATGTTGAATACAAAAGCTCGAGTATTAAAGTCAGCATTCCTTTCTTAGTTTACTAGTGGAAGAGGTTAATGTCACCACCCATATATCTGTCTGGGGGTAGAATATACAATGTATTCACACGGAAACAAAATAAGGCTCCTCTTTGTAGACTCTACTTCTATTTTTTGAGCACGTATCCCGGCGGGGGTGCTTTTTCTTCCGATTTTTCAAACAGAAAAGACAGTTCAAGGTCTGGAGACAGGTATCCAGTCGTCACCCATCGCTTTTGACGTCATCGGTGAGTGTCCCGAACGAAGTGATTAAGGCACGCAAGTTTTTTTTTTTAAACACCCTTATTTAGCCACCTGCGGGGTTTAAACTTTCTTAGAAACCGAGAAATTAGGACATCAAATGAAGGACCGCAGAGGTAAAGCTATAAAAAAAGTGATCAGAGGGGGTTATTAGTGATCGCGTTTCCTTTTGGCCTAGTTTAACCCGACGACTTCTACTACACTAACAATCGTCTGGGTATATTTATAGGTGGGCCAAGTTCTCGTTTGATATAACTGAAGATGTTAAAAAAAAGAAAGAAAGTCGTCAAAACACTAACTTTCCTTCAGTGTAATGGGGGTTCGAGTTTCCTTGACTTTTATTTACGTTATGTCACTTTGCCAGGTTACGTGATGGCCCAAAAACTGAATTTTTCCCTTTCTCTTGTCCTCTTTCAACAGCCGACTGCTTTCGTCTGGTTAAGTATCTCTTACATTTCTTTTTTCTTGTGTTTTTTTTTAACTTGTAGAGATTATTTTAAGTGAATTTCGATGTTTGCTAGAAGGTAAACCAAAATCGGGAATGCTAACACACACGACTAACGTTGAAAATGGGAAAGTCCACTCTCTTCTAAAGCGTCATCTTCGTTATCTTATCGGAACCCATATTTAACCTACATTTATTATCCATGACACCGATTATTGTTTAAAATGTTTTGAACACAAATAATAAGCATTGTTTCGCTTTAAAGTTTGGAAAAAAATGAGTGTTTCATGGTCAGAAATCCATGGCTCTTCGATATTTTAACCCGAAAAAATGGATTTTTGCCATTGGGATCGTGGGAACGGGGATCGCGGAGGGGGTGACGCCCCAATCCAAAATACAATAGGGAAGATGTAATCTTCTCTATTCATCGTGTGTAAGTTGGGGAAAACTAGCAAAAGAAAGTGGATAGAAAAGAGATTTTTGGTTTTACAGAGCCCGATTTCAATCGTAAATGCCATCTTGGAGCGATTTGTGTGCCGCCCTTATACTTCGGTCAAAGACACAAGCATCTGGTTGTTATAGCTAAAGTTAGTCAACTGCTTCTGCGAAGAAAGTCTGCAAGAGTTCGTTCTACTAATTACTGGGTGTGTTTCGCAGATGGCATTACCAATTGAGTTAGGCTTTCGTGCTAAATTTATATCACCTCATTCAATCTGCGATAACAGGAACAGAGTCTACGCGCAGTATTTAAAATGGCTTCTACTCCTAATCCCTCGGCAATTTTGACAGAGATGCGGGTTTTGATTTATGTAAAACCCTGTCGAGAAAGAATTTTTCGCAAGATTTATATTACACTTGTGGAATTTCTGAATAAAATTACGGAGAGGAGTCAAGCGAGCAATGTCATCAATGAAAGACGAACAAGTTTCACTGACTGACCAACTGACTCGACAGAAAAATCCAATCAGAGCCGAGTAGCATAAAAAAAGGAGGCATGTCAGACAAGTTTTTCTTGTCTGGAGTAAGGTGAGGCGAAGTAAAATCCCTCTTCGGTCACGTACCAAACATGTCACCCTTTCTACCGGATTCTTTTAACTTCCCATCATAAGATCGAGCCTGTTGGTGGAGGTCAGAGGTTCCTTCATCATACTCGAGTGAATGTAATCGGATCATTTAGCGGAAGTGTAATTATCTCTTGATTTTGAGTCAAGGTTTGTTTGCTAACATAAACACGATGGCTATCACAATAGGATGAGATCGCGCGTTTTAGTGGCTCTATAATAAATCTCAATTACAAAAATAAAGATGCAAACATCTGTATAAATGAAAAGACCAGTTCTACTTCCCTCGAGCGCTACGTTTGGTAAGCACGTTTGACACCGGATATAGAAAGACAAGGAAGTTTCTAGCCAATTGTCCAACGGAAATTACATATTAATAACATATTCACGGAACATAAATATACAATGGTTACCACTTGTGTCCGTTTTGTTCATCAGTACACGCCTCTCCGTGTAGTTAAGCAGATTGAACATCGCCCTTTCTACGTGAAGAGGGAAAAAACTCTGTATTTTTTCTTCTGGTAAAAAAACAGGGCGATGTTCAATCTACATAACTACTTTTTTTTTTATTTTTTGAAATGCTCAGAGCGCTCTGCCAGAGGTTTTACAGAGACTGAATTTTGGCAGGTGTTGCGAGCGCCGTGTAAATATACTCGAGTGTTATTAGTGGTGCAAAACATTAGGCGAAAAATAAAACAAAGTGTCGCGATGACCTCGATTGCTTTCTAGACTTATGATGATGATCTCATTACCTAATTGGGCTGCGCGAAATTTATTTTCTGCTTCACTTTTAACAACGAAAGTTGTCTTCGTTTGTAGGTCATATATCGCTCTTGTTTTTTTTCTTTAACTTTGGCTGGGTTTTCGACTTCGTCATCCTAAGGCACATTTAAGAAACGTGTCCTCTCGATGTCACGCTCAATTAGTAAATATCCGCCCAAATTTTCCACCCTTTCACCAATGTGCATGTGTGGGTTGAGGGATCAAAACCGCGCCCATCACGTTTCTAGAGATATTCAAGGCCTAACTAGTGTTCCCACACATCCCCCATTTAGTCCGTTTCTGACCTATTTCATCCAGACCTTGATGATATTTTATGATGTTGAACTACGTAACAAAGCGATGCAACACCTCATAGTCAATGTTTACAAACACATGGCTCTTACAAACGACAAGCGGGTCAAATGTTAAGCGAATGGCTTTAAAAAAGGGTCAAAAACCCGTCTGGAAGACAAGTCGAAAGAGCGGTTTAAAACTAGGTAGGGAGGGAAGAACTATAAATCATTTTGGTGTCGCTTACCGACACCGGATGGTCGCCCTTGTCCTTGGTGGCAAAAGCTCATTTCTTCTATTGTAAGGCCGGTAGTCGGCATAGAACAAAGAGGACAAAGGCACAGCTATAATGACCTAGCAGACGGCGAACAGACGAAAAATCACTGTCTAACTACCCGACTGGTTTACTTTTTCAATGCTGATTAAAGCTAAAGAGCCAAAACAAACTGCAAAAATGTGTTATTGCCTCTCGGATAAGATGCCGTGCAAGGTCGTAGAACTGACAAATGAGACGTACTCAAACAAATGTTACGAAATTCGCTTCTCCTTAACTGGGGACCCACTCTAATTGGGAATATTGAAAGTGGAAAGGCTCCTAATGACCTAATTTCTAAAGTTTAGCGATAATAGCAAAAGGTGAACGGTATTTTAGGGGGGAGAAGCAAGGTCGTAAGGTTGTCATCTATCTTCTGCTCACATGGAAGAAGAGAGATCTTCCTATTACAGCTATAAAAACTCTGAACAACCTGTCACTTGAAGCAGCCATTAAGTAGTAATAACTGAGGCCAGAAGGCAGATTTATATAGGAAGATAGGAGAGGTCTATACTGCCGACCTCCCACTGTTATCGCACACACCTGCACTCACTAGGTGAGTCGCATGAAAATTAGGAGCTTCACAGAATGACAGTAAACTCGCTACTTAATAGAGCAGGTAGCTGCGCTGTCATTGTTCATTAGTCTGTCTTATATAACATGAAGAATCTAAATCGTTCTAAGGAAGGATTTTCTCAAGATTGTTAGTGTCGTTTCTAAGTCGAATTTATTTGTTGAGTCACCGATAATTGCGTCGGTTGAAGAATGCGTAGGATTTTTCAATGAATACGACAAAGAGCTGTTGCACATGTTAAGGAAACGGTTTAGACGGGTTTAAAGCACTTTGCACATGGAAATTTCTTACTTTCCAGTTTATAATATACGTTGGCATTGCTACGATCCAAAGTTAACTAAATCAGACTTACCATTCCTTGGCACAGGCTAAGAGAAACTATGGAATCGTCTTCGTCGACAAACTTTCCTTTAAAATAACAATTGTCTTTAGGATAATGAGTCCTGCAAGTGGCATTCTTTCCCCAAGATTCTAACGTAGTCATATGAAAATGTGGGGAAAGAAATTCGCTGCTTGGTTCTAATTCAATGAAGAAAAGGAAATTGAACGCCTTGAACTTGAACCTTTTCGTTGTGTTTTCTAGGTCCCACTTATCTGTAGGATTACCGTTAGAGTCCAGCAGAACGGGAAACACCTTTTCTTGACGGAGACCAGCATCTGAAGGAGAAAAACAATCATTTTTTTATAGTCTCATGTAACCGGAAAGACCTTCCGCAGTCAAAGAGTCAAGTGAAAGAGCAAAGCTATCATTGTCAAGCATCAATTCAATAGACAATTTAGACTAAGTATGAATGACCCATTTATGCAATTAAGTTTTCCCTCGAGTATGAATGAAGATGAAAAGAGAAAAAGCAAATCGTGTATATCCTTAAGTTCATCTATAATTTGATATATCTATTAATGTAACATAATCACTTCAATTGTGTTTGTTTATCAAGAGGTCTTTGCACTGAAAGACATTTTGTATCCTAAACGGATACGTAATCATTGTTTAAATTATTTTATGGACTTCGTTTCCGGCAAAACTTAAATGTTATTATTATTATTAATTTATTTAAAATTTCTCTCTCTCGCTCTCTCTCGTTGCAAAATCTAATTATTCAGCGTGTCTCACGAAACTTGGCCGAATGATCCTCCCAAAATCCTTGTAAACAATACAACGGATGAAGAAACAATGCGAACTTGACATATTCACAACTTAGATCTTGTAACCCTTTAACATCCAAACTACTTTCAAAACACACTTTTATCTTTTAAGCAGATGTTTTAGGGTCAAAAACGTTACCCTTCCAAGGACGAACACCTTGAAAATAAGTCGAAGATCTGAAGAACCGACATACAAAAGTGATAGCGAGTGGTGAAGTGTGAAAACAAACTACTAGCCGTCCTTGTGAATACTATATAGTGACCCATTTCCCTACCGACAATTAATACGGTATCCTGCAGCAACCAAGGCCTCGAGGAGGAGCTCGGTCTGACCATATTCCTTATTTACTTCATCTAAAGTCTCTACCACTCGATCTATAACGTTAAAAAAGAAAAAGAAAAAAAAGTCGACGTCCTAAAACACGTGCGAGAAAATAAGACGATACCAGCTGGCAGCATGAGGTGGCATGCTTCCAGGCCGACATCCATGGGCCATTCACACTCTTAGCATTAGGTACACGACATCACACCACACAATATCTTTTAATTCGTAACAATATCGCGTGCTTATCTATAAATGTATCGTCGTGTATGTCGCGCACAAACAATCGAGATCGCATAACAGTTTAGCATCCAAGACCAGACATAAATCAGTCAAGCAGTGTAATTGATGTACTGTCCGCGCGACGGTCTATCTAAAGGACAAGGTTAAGAAAAAAATGCTTTTAAAGGGTTTCACTCACCTTGCGGATCCTTCAGACGTGATCTATCCCAATCTGCCGACGTTAATGAGTATATATGCAGTATAAAAAACAAAAAACAACGATACCACAGCATGATTTCACTGACAGTAAACATGGACTTAAAGGGACGGTTGGGTACTGTTCGACTCGATCATATTCCACGTGCGGCAGTGTGCTCTTCCTTTTTTATTATTATTATTTTTTTCTTTTTTTCTTCCGCTAAACTCCTCTAACTTGCCCTCCCTATCACTCCCCGGCTTAGAGCGAGGGACGCTCAGCCTATAGCTGCCGAACTCACGCCACTAGGCAAGTGCAGTCGGCACATGCCCCAACACTACGAGCGTTACAGCGCTTCCGAGGTCAGCCCGCGGCCCTCTAGCGGCATTTCTCGTAACTAAGTGCTGGCCGACAATCGACAGATAAGGCCTTCTTTCTGTTAAAAACACAAAGGAAAAACGTAATAGACATTTTACTAATTCTACGCACTTTTTTTTTTTTTTTAATTCATCTCTTCGCACTCTTCCGCTGGAATTTCCAACGTAACCCGATACGTCAGGTGAAAAAAAGTGCGGAAGAAGTGTTCATTTCATTTTTTTTTATTTATCTCTTCAATTAAAAATTTTAATGGGGTGCTTATCGAGCCAACACATAGTTTTTTTTCGTTTTTTTCTTTTTTTTTTTGAGTGATAACCCGGTCGCTTTGATTATGGCACCTTATAAGGATTGATGGGTCACTCCCAATATTGTAGCACCTCGCCTCTTCCGATAATGTTTCAGACACTTTCGGGGTCTTTTTTTATTTATAAAATACATAAATCCTACTGTAAAATTTTCCTTAAAGGATACATTAACGGCTGAGTAACACCTTTAAGCGTGTAGATGATTATTGTGGTAACATCGTTAAGGAGTTAAAAAAAAATAAAAAAAATGCTATCTTAATAGAGGAACAACTTGAGGATTTTTTCCTTATTTAATTTAACAGTAGCTTCGGGGTTATCTTTAGTACTGCTGGATTTCTCTTGCAGATTAGCACTGTTAGAGTAACATTCGATAGTCTACCCCCCGCAGTTATTTTTAAAGAGTGGTAGCGCATCCGGTATAACTATGGCAATCCTATGCTAATACATAGAAAAAATCCGCAGGGGGATACCACGAAAATCAAATTCGATCCCATAACTATGCAAATGAATTAAAAATTGTGCCGCTTCTACGGATGGGATTGGATATTTATGAGTTCTGTGACGTCGCTCGGGTACCCGTAATCAATTTTTAATGCTGATACCCAACGATACAGTTAAAAGTGATGATGCGGCACTTCTACGGGCGAGTATAAATTACGTAATAATGAATAAATGATGTAATTTTTTCTCAGAACAAATAAATATTTTGATTTATTTAACAGTTTTACCAGAAATCTGTGGATGTAAAACACCTTTTTTGTTTTTTTTTTAATTGGTCGACGAGTTCGATCAAGCGTGGCATTCTACAGTTGTTAAGATCGAATCTTAAACGCTCTATGCCACTTTTATGGTGGAATTTAATGCGTGGAGCGTTATAAAAATTATTTTTAAGAATATTAAGTACTTTATCGTGTATAAAAGTCGAGTAGTTTGCATGTTTTATGAGAAAATTATCCAGATAAAAAGGTTTTTAAGTTGGTTATTTAATTCGTTCCGCAGGGCCGATAAGGTGTTGAATTTCATAAAGTTTGGTAGAACAGATTGGATTTTGAATGATATATGCGGATTTTTTTGTGGTAGACATTAATGTATATTCCCAATGGGAAGATTTTATTTTTAAGATTTCCCGATTAAGAATGGTGCTTCTTTGTCCGAGTGTTTACTAAGGGTCGCGACATACAAGATGGAAGAACAAACAGATGAATGTTTAGATCTGTTTTAGCTGAGCAACACAAGAGTATTGAGATAAATCAAACTCAAGATAAACAAGAGGAGCTAATCTTTTTTTCTTCTTCTTTCTACTTTATTTCTTCACTTTTAATTAATGTCTGGTTTACTATGGAAGACGAGATGGGTTTCGTAAATTTGAAAATAATGATTATATTTATTATTTATTTTTCTAAAAAATCGTGTTTATTTTTATTTTTAAAAGAAAATATAAACCTTTATTCATTATTCTTGTTCGGATCGTTTAAAATTAGAAAGAAAAGATAACATAAAAAGTATTCCAAGATGGAGGAATTTTATAAACTTACGTAATTGTTAAGGAAGGGATTTTTAACGAGGCAATTTTTGTATATTTTTAATTGTCCTTAACACATTTTGTGTTACAAAAAATAATCTATAGCTATAAAACCAAGGCTGGACTAAGTTTTGCTGTCGCTTTAAGCTATAACATGTAACAGGCCTTCCCCTCCACCAAATAACGTAAAAATGTGAGGCCCTGAGCTCTAGATTTATGCAGCTCGTTTAGTTTATCCGGCCCTATAAAAATTAATAAAAAAATTACTTAATTTAAATATATCATAGCAGAGTTACCCTAAGCTATAACATATAACAGGCCCTTCCTTTCGCCAAATAAATGATATGTGTTAAAATATGAGGCCTTAAACTAATAGACTCTTAAGGCAATAAAGTCTTAAACTCAATTTAGGGCCTCTTGAGAGGCCCAAAATTGAGTTATTTAGTTCTTTAGCCCAGATCCTACAAATACAGTATTTAACCTGTATACTAAATTTAAAACCGTGTCGTGTAAACGCTTATTTAGCTATAAAAATTAAAAAATATTTACCTAACGAATCAAATTACTTTGGTAAAATTTAGATATAAACCATGCAATAAATTACTAATCTATGGTTAAAGTTTGATGGGAATAAACCATTTAATCAAATAATTGAACCGACACCGGACAGTCCAATGGCCTAAACGCTACTAGAAACGATTAAACGCCTCGCCTAAATGGTATTTAATCGTTACTTGAAAGCTTAAATTTCGATAAAATCAGATATGAGGCCTTAATGAGGAAGAGATATCCCTTTATCGCCTCTCAAAAAATACCAACTGCAACCTTTCTCGTCCGCAAGATCAAGGAGACGAAAGAATAAATAAAAAATTGCTAAGTTCCTTCATACAAAAAAATAAATATATATATATATAAATAGGTCTATTAAGCCACGGTTTTATTATTGTTATTTAATAAATAAACAGTTAGAAAGCCATAAATGATAGATTTCGATGCAGGTTAACGACATTAATATAAGAGACTAATATATAGGAAATTTGATAGTTTGTTAGAGGAGTATTTATGTATTTTGTTTTGCATTTTAAAAATGTACAAGTGGAGGACATGCTCGAAACTCTTCGATAGCGATTTATATTTTTTATAACTTTTTTTTCCTCCTCTAAATCGAATCGAATCGAATCGAAATTAAACCCCCTTTTCTAAGTTTTGTATCGGATGGTAACTTGATGAATGATGTAAAAAGTACTAAATTAAAGTTGTTAATTAGGTATTAAGTATTGTTTTCAACAGAAAACAGTACTAATTCTGAATTAAATAACTAATAAGTACTATTTTCTTTCGAAAAAACCACTTACACGCCATTAAAAATAAAACTATGTTTGTAGAACACTAGGATCTATTAGTGAATTTTAGTATTATCTTCACTATTTTCGAGTAAAAACAGTATTAATTCAGCTATTTTAAGAGATTTTTTAATGCATAATTTAACCCGATTTAGTGTTTATTTAAGTATAAATTCAAGATTTATTATCATTTATCTCATATATTCACTCGAACTTAATAGGAGTTCCATAACTTCAAATATCGGTTTCATTTCAACAAAGGAGCCATTTTAGAATTCTAAAACGACTCGTTCAATCTAAGTAATGGTAAAGTAGCCTTTACGACTCGCCTACTTTTATCAAAAGCGGTATTTGTATAGAATACTAAAGTCGAGTTGTGAATTTTATTGATGTAACTACGACCTTACTTATATATATATTGTGTTTGTGTAACTTTATTGTCTTAATTTTGGCTTGAGTTACGTTAATTTTTGTTTACATGGTTACCTTAAAAAGAAAGTTTTCTGCCCACATCTTTCAGAAAAACAGCAAAGTAAGCATTATTCTATTTTTTCTCCACCTCTCAGCTTAACGAAATAATAATTATAACTTGTATAATATATATATATATATTATATTTTTTAAATCGATCTTCAAGGTTTGCAGAACCAGAAAACAAAGAATAACGTGTGCCAGAGCTGTAAGTTATCAAGGAAAATTGAGTTGCACACCCACTTGACTGCATTTCCGTCATCGTTACGGTCAAGCTTCTATCAACAGAAAATCACATAGCATCGTTAATGCTGAAAGAATCGAAGATAATCTGAACATAAAATAATTTTTAATTATTTTTTAAAAATATGGCGCCAGTTTCAATTTCCTTTTTATCAATTTCCGACTTCAGCATTAAGTTTCTGTCTCCATCATCATCCATATTAGACACACGACACCACTCGTTGCAAATCTAAATAAAACTGTTAAAATATCTCGAAGGACGGCCATAACGTGCTACGTTTGGGCGGAGTTTGCAAAGGTTCTATTCTGAGAATTTGAGATGGAGCCATGCTCCTCCACAATCCAAACACGAAGGGAAAGAGGAAAATCATTTTAATTATAAGTTTTCTAACGTATAATCTTTATAAAATAATAAGGAAATTACGTTTTTCACGGACAAGATAGAAACGCTTCTGCAATTTCGTTTCCTGTTTTATTTCTATGCTGGTTTTTTTTCTTCAATTTTCATCATTATCTAATGAAGGAAGACTGTGATAACAATCTTTTGGAATATTTCCATTTATTAACGACACTGGAAAACATATTTCCTATGGATTAAACAAGGACAAGAATAGTTTCTCGCTTTGTCCCAATTTCCATTGAAGATACGCTTCCTATCTCCCGAAGATACGGGAATATTCATTCCTTGACCCTTCCTGATTTATTAAAATCTAGCTCTTCTAGGAATAGAAATGATGTAATACTTTTATTTACTTTCTAATGTTACCTATTTTTACAGCATTGCGCTATTTTATTATAAATTCTATTATTTTATGAAGAATTTATGAATTTGTTTAACATAATTCGTAACTTTTAATTGTTAGTAAGCCATAGTTTCGTTACATCTCAAGATTTTATGATACATTTCACGTTTTCTGCGGTAGATTTCCCGTAAACTGCCCTATTACATAATGATTTACTCATGCCATTCAGAAAACACACCCTTGTTGTGGCTCTCTATATGGACATGTACGAAGTCTCCTCCTATATGGGGTCCTTTAAGCTTTTAAATGTTCAAGTTTTTAGTATCGGGAGCCAAAATAACTACCCAA